TTATCCAATTATTTATTATTATTGTATGGATGCTGACTCAGCATCCATACAATAATAATAATAATAATAAATAATTGGATAACATAGAAGCAGATTGCTCTTGAATCAGTCACATTGAATGAACCTGATTGGCGTGTTAGCATGTGTATATAAATGTGTGCTTTTGGCTCTCGTGCCTGGTTGACAGTGCGTGACGAAGCTCGAAATGTTGCTGCTACTGCAGAACGAACTTACTGAGAGCTTAATGCAGTGTGCAGACCTTTGCCTGTTTTTTGGATTAATAGAAAGGCCTACTGTGCACAGGCCCAGGGGTCCCCTAGACCAGAGAACCATGAAAGAACTGTTAAATTTTCTGCTGGAAAGTCAATCAAATGACTGCAAAAGAAACAAATTAAGAAAAAAAGCTGAAGCAAAACAAACACAAACATGATTAAAACCACTAAAAAGACAAAAAAATTACAAAAAAAAAACAGAAAAGGCCACAAAGACAGAAAAATTACTATTAAAATGTCAAAAAAATAGCATACAACTACAAAGAGATGCACGATGAGTAAAAAGGAACACAAAATGGCTAAAAACAGATGCAAAACAACTATAAACAGGCAAAAAACAACTACAAGAAGATAAGACACAAATCATATAGTCTCTCGACCTGTGAGTGTTGCTTCTAGAGGTGGATGAGGGGTAAGGGGCTTTTAAATGTCTGTGTCCAGGGACCCATTGACTCATGATCCATCCATGCTTTGACAGCACTTCCAATACATACTGGCATACTAGAAAATAAGTAATACAGTGAGGAACAGAAGTATTTGAACACCCTGCGATTTTGCAAGTTCTCCCACTTAGAAATCGTGGAGGGGTCTGAAATCACATCAGCCCCGAAACCTGACAGATCTAGAGGAGATCTGTGTGGAGGAGTGGGCCAAAATCCCTGTTGCAGTGTGTGCAAACCTGGTCAAGAACTACAGGAAACGTTTGACCTCTGTAATTGCAAACAAAGGCTTCTGTACCAAATATTAACACTGATTTTCTCAGGTGTTCAAATACTTATGTTCAGCAGTGCAAGACAAATAAATTCTTTAAAAATCATACAATGTGATTTCCTGAAATTTTTTTTTAATTCTGTCTCTCAGAGTGGGAATCCACCTACAATGTGAATTTCAGACCCCTCCATGATTTCTAAGTGGGAGAACTTGCAAAATTGCAGGGTGTTCAAATACTTCTGTTCCTCACTGTATATTTACTACATATAAACACAAGAGGGCAGAAGTGTTTCATCAGATAAATCAAATGTTCATAGACATGAAAATACATTTCTTATTGTGCTGTATATGTGACATGTTTGCTGGGATGTTTAGTTTAGTACATTGTAGAATCAGCAGCCAGGCTATATGGCCATATTAAAGACTCAGCACTGAAAGTATTTGAAATGTTATCCTCTGCATGGCACAGTAGCTCCTGGCTGAAGATTTAAAGAATAGGGCCTTGATATATCCTGGAAGCCAGGCATACACTCGACTTTTAGTGGCTGCCTGAGCATGTTGAATACATTACTGAAAAATAATGTCATAAACTCTTCGCCAGACTGTGTTGAGGCAGAGGCGGCCAGAGATGGAGGCACTGGATGATGCAGGAGTCATACAACAAGCTGGTACTGAGGCTATAATGAGTTTAATTAGTGAGTCAGACCAGTGGCACCTGTCAGCAGCTTGTTAACACATCAGCATCACTGGGAGTTGATAACAACAGTGATGTTCCAGTTTGATCTACTCATTCACTCCTGATCCTGGGTTTACACCACAGCTGACAGCTTTTCTTTCAGTTTATCGACATAGAAAATCAGATTTGAACAGTTTTTACTCCATTCTGGTTTCAGTAATTCAGTGTTACTGGTATAGAGATATCACATACTGATAAAATATTTTGCAATGGCCATATATTGAGGGGCCGTAGAGGGTACAGTTTTCATTACAAGCCAAAAAAACAAGCATTCTGTACATTCTGAACAGTTACATACATATACTGTTCTATTAAATCTGTGCTTTTGGATTTGTTCTGTTGCTAATATCCTGACAGCAATGTGATTCTGTGAGCAGGCAAACCTGGGAGACACTAGAAACAACAGGCTGAATCTAAAGCAGCTTAGCAATTACAAATGCACATGGAGCTAGTGATTATCTATGGATGACTTCATCACATATGTGACAAAATTAGTGAAAGTCATGTCACAGTTCATCTGTGTTTTGTCATTTGAAGAGGAGCTTAGCAGTAACTACACTTTTTTTGAGTAAATAAGAGGCTTTTACAGGCACTTAATTATATTATGTCTAAGCATAAACTTTATTGCCAACTATCATCAATGGCCCCAATGTGTACAGCAATAAAAACAAAATAAATACAAAATATATACAAGTTAAATAAGCACAAGTTAAAAGAGCAAACATAGACTAGCTCAGGGGTGCCCACACTTTTTCACCTTGCAAGCTACTTTTCAAATGACCAAGTCAAAATGATCTACCTACACTAAAAATACTAAACATATATTTATTTATATATATACTGAGTATACTTTATGTAAACACAATATATGTTGGCACACCTTGCATAACTGCATGAACCTTTAAGGCACACCATTCAGTACAGTTTTGGCCATTACGTTACTCTGATGACTTGCACTGAATGGAATCAGCCAGGGCTGCATAGTCCGGACAGTAGCTGCTGGTAGCCAGCCTCAAGCAGACTTCCAGATGATCATCAGTCATGGTGGAGCATTATTTGGACTTAATAGTCTTCATGTGGGAAAATGCTGACTCATATAAATAAGTAGAGCTAAATAATGCAGTCAAGGAGGTGGCACATTTCCTCATGTTTGGGTACTTTTCCTCTGTAAGTTCCAAAACGGCCCATTGGACTTCAGCTGAATGTCAGTCTGTAGTGTCAATATCTCATCCTCCACTCCAGACCAGTTCAGGTGAAACAGTGTTGCGATTTTTGATGTGAGTGAATCAACCTCAGTATCTTCCCTAAATGTAGTAACTGGCTCAAGTGAAGCAAACTCTTGAACGCTTTTGTCAAACTCTGACCAACAATTGTCAATTTGATCTGTGTAATGCGCAATGTCAAGTTGCGCACATGCCTTCAATTGCGTCTCCAACTCTAATTCAAGGTTTTGGAAGTTCCCCCCAAAATGGCACCGGAGCTTTGAGGAGAGATGTTGCATTTTTCATTTGAAAGCATTAACTAAGCTGATCATATTGACACGTGATCTACCATCACTACCTTTGCGATCGACATATTGGGCACCCCTGGACTAGCTGTTCAAGAGTGCAATAGCCCAAGGGGAGAAACTGTCTCTGTGTCTAGTTGTCTTGGCGTACAGTGACCTGTAACACCATCCAGAGGGGAGGAGTTCAAACACATTGTGTCCCATTGTGAGGTATCTACAGAAATCCTCTCTGCCCTCCTTTTGACCCTTGTGGTGTACAGGTCCTCAATGGAGGGCAGGCTGGTACTGATGATTTTCTCTGCAGTTCTGACTGCCCGCTGGAGTCTGTTCCTGTCCTGTGGTTGGTTGCTGAGCCAAACCAGACAGTGATGGAGGTGCAGAGAACAGACTTGATGATTCCTCTGTAGAATTGTATCAGGAGATAACGGGGCAGGTTGAACTTCCCGAGCTAATGCAGAAAGTACATGCTGTGCCTTTTTAATGATGGTGCTGATGTTGGTTTTCCACTTCAAGTCCCAAGAGATTGTGGAGCCCAGGAACTTGTAGAATTCCATGACTGAAACAGTGCTGCTGAGTATAGTGAGTGGAGATAGGGTGGGGGAGCTCCACAAATAGGATCTGAGCATAGGTCCCTGGTGAGTCTAGATATTGCAGGATGTAATGTAGTGCCATGTTGACCGCATCATCCACTGACCTATTTGTTGATCCTCGTCCCAGTATTTGACCTTTTTCGGAGAAAATCTAGTAATTCCTTTGTCCAGACCCTAAAAGTATCCAAGAAAAGTAGGTCAGGCATGCCCAGATTACAAGGCTCAGTGACACTCACCACACTCTCTCCTATGGATCAGCGCAATAACTTGCCCAGGGTACCAAGAGACCCAGGGCCGGCCCTGGTATGGTTGTTTTGCCAGCTGCTGTTTGTATGAACTGAAAACCCCCCCAGAGTATTCTGAAGCTGTACTGACTCTAACACAGTTATGACAAAACTAATATACTGCAGTTGTGATATTTGAATTTTGTGTGTGAAAAACATTTGTCCCGTCCCTGCCATTAGGCTCAACAGTTTCTGATTAGTTTATATTTGCTGACTAAGCACCAACAGATTTCTCTCCACACCAACACATCAACAAGTATTCAGCAGTGTGAACTGTTATCCCTTACATCTCTGCTCACCAAGGGGCATTAACTCTAATCAGCAGTGGAGCTGAGATTAGCGGAGTAAGTCTGAGCACTGCAGGTATAGTCTGGTGTCTCACTTTAGCTGTGTGTGCTCTAAGAGGATTTACTGAGACTGGAAAGGATATAAATAAAGAGGTGGTTCAGACTCTAATCATTCCTGTTTATCTGCCAAAGTTAAAAAAAACTCTTCTTATAACCTTGGCCAGGTGGCTGGCGGGGTGGATTTACAGACCATATTTTGACAGCACAGAGTAGAGAAGCTGGAATAACAAGATAAGAGCTGTAGGCAGCAAAGTGTAGTATAGCTGAAAGACACCACATCCTGTCCCATTTTCACTTGATTTACCAGTGTGTAAAATCTCAGTAAATGCACCTTTAAACTTGAAGGATCTTCATTAGACAAGAAAAAATATTTTGCATTCATTATTACTTTGTTAAAGAGACATTCTGAAGGTATACATTGATGTGATATTTAATATACTCTACTGTATCACTACATTTGCTCTCGTGCTGGCTCCCAATCCCCCCCCCCCCCC